CTCCGCCAATCACCTTCGTCGTTTCGTGTAGATTTGTGCGACGCGCAAAAGGTAATGACATACGCAACGGAGAACCGCGTGCGTGCGTGCGTGAATGCGTGCGTACGTGCGCACTAATGCGTACGCTCTGGCGCCGGAGCCTCATTCCTGTTTTCGCCATTTTCACTTATTATAAAAAAACCTTGCTTCTTTTACAATGGCACATCGATAATGTACTTTTCGATAATGAAACGTGAAAAATATATCGCATCCGGTGTTTTCAAAGGCATTGTTGGGAATGAAATCGTTATCTTCTTCCTGTCTTTTTATCATTTTTTTTATTACGATAATATATCTACATAATATCATAATAGCATATTAACATAATAAAATATGTTATTGTCTAATTTTATCAGAATATTAAAATTTAATAGAGTATTATTATATATGTATTATATTTAATGAAACTCCTTTTGTTCAAAGTAATGGAAACAGTTTCTTCCGTCTTTCATAAATATTTAAGTAGTATTGGTTTTTTGTCTGTTGCATTTATGCCCATTTCTAGTTCTAATAATTAGAAAAAGAAGAGTAAATTAAACCATAAATGGACATTAAACACTTAAGATAACTTCGAGTTTTTGTTCTTACTACTTTGTTTATATTTCTATTTTTAACTAAATATAAATATAAATATAACACATAAAAGATAAAATGACAATTTACCAAGTTATTAGTACATTTTTAGTTTAACACGTGAAAAAAACAGCATTCCGTTCTGCTGACTTTGTATTATAAATACAATCAGCTTTTTGCGACTGATTCATATTTTACACGTGGACAAGAGTTACGATCACAAATGATTGGACAAGAGTTACGATCACAATCGAGGATTTTTTTTTTTATTATTTCAACAAATCACTCTTAATCACGTGTGCAGCAGTTTATTAAGATCTATAGATACGCAGATAAATTTGCACAAAAAAGATGATGTGTATCTCAATAATGATAGTGCTTTATGATTGGCATACTTAGTTATCAATCGAATCTTATTCTCATAATATTTTTGTGATATTTATCAGAAATCATCGCATGTTTCGATCAGATTAGCGAAATAGTAGGTCGAAAAATGTGTTTGATACTTTTGCATTTGTTTCTCAATTCCTTCACATTCGGTATTTACATTCCATGTGTCACTATCATCTTGTTTTAATGTTTCGTCTAATTCCCATCGCAATTTTTTCTACCTACGCAAAACATTCATTTAGATACTAATTTTTTGCTGCATTCTTTTCTTTCTTCGTCAAAAGCATTTTCTAATGGTCTTGCCGATTTCTTTTCATATATCTACAGCTTTTATTAATATTTTCGTTGATGAAAATATTGTACATTAAAAATTTAATTTACCTTTTCCCATTTTTGCCATATAAGATATAAGTTTATCAATTCATTGTGATAAAATACAACCAAATATAATGTATGCAGAAATCCAGTCGCCACTTAAAATAAGTTCTATTAATTAAAATACTATCTATTAAAAGACTTTATCTGTACATATTCTTTTTTTCAAACACTATTAATTCCCTTTATTTTAATATTTTCGTCTATGTAATCTCTCATTAATAATTAATAACAGTAATAAAATAAAAATTAGTAATATGCAATATATTATAGAATATACTGCAAGTTCATTTGAGCTCGAAAATGTTTTCCATAATTTCACATAAATTTGCGTTTATTAATGATAAAATTTTTTTAATTATATGCAAGAAAAGCAATTTTAAGGTCGTAAAAATCCATTTTAAGATAACAGTTTCGTAGTACAGTATTTAGTATTAGCATTACAAGCAGGAAAAATTCCACTCGCAAACAAGCAGTTATATGTTTCAGTAATTCCTATACTGTTATTCGTAATTATTATATAAAATATTTGGGCATATTCGATATACTTCAAAACTCTTTATTCTTTATATAGTATAGAACATAAAATTCTGAATTGATTTATATTTTCCGTCGGATTATTAAAATCCTTATTTATTTGCAAGCTTGTGAAGAATTAGACTAATATAAGATAAAAATCCAAAAGATCAGAATTAAAAATGGAAAGTCCGAAAGTTTATCTTAAGAACCGTGAAAATAAACAGTATGAGAGAGGAAATTATCTTTTGAAATGTGTTGTTTCTTATTTACTGCTACTTAAGGAGATAACGTGCCATTGATGGATGACAGCGTGGTCCGATATCCGATTAAATTTACGAACGATTAGATTTGCGATCGCTTCCAACGTTTGATATCACATACGATAGAGGCTGTACTTTTTACTAAATACAGTGTGAATAAATTATGTAGACAAAGAGCAAATTAAATTATGCAAAAACAAACATTTTTGCAGGAGAGCCTAGGAGGAAATTCACGAACGGCAATGCTGGGAACGGTGTCACCGGCCAACATTCATGTAGAGGAGACCCTGGCGACCCTTCGATATGCGTGTCAGGCTCGAGCTATAGTTAATCGAATCCGCATCAATGAAGATCCGCACGACCGACTAATTCGGTAAAACATCTCCTGAGGTTTAATTTTTAATTCAATAAAAGCTCCATGTTTTCACTGTCGTATGTTATACAAATGCTACGAATATGTCAGAGGCAAATTATACAAAAGGATTGAATTCATTATTCTAATAGATTTTAACAAAAAGATAATTTAATGACTTATCTCAAAGCGAATTAAAGGCTGAAGTACTACGTTTACGAGGGGTGCGCGAAGGATATGAGAAGCAGTGTGGAGTTGTTCCTCGTCAGTTGCTCCATCGTTTCGACTCGAAGGATCAATGGGGAAAGGATATCATCCGACAACAAAAGGAAATTGATAAACTGAAAGATCAATTGAAAAAAACGGAAGAGCAGTTGGCTGTTACTCAGATGTAAGTGAAATAATTTGGTCTGTTAATACGTAAGATCAAAAAGTAAATAAGACAATAATATTTAAATTCATTTATAATGATATCACATTTTTAATTTAAAATTATCGATTTCTTTCATTCAGCCTTGGAAGGAACAATTTCAAGGTCAGCTGTGATAATTTTGTAAAATTTTGAATTTTTATTTGAAAATATAATTATGAAATATGATTTTTTAATTTAATAATGTTTTATTCTCAGCCGTTACATTATTCTTATTATCAAGGATTGAAAACTATAATTTAATCTTATCCTTGTAATAAAACTTATTCAAGTTTCAGGATTAATATGCTCTTGCAAATGAAGCTTGTTGCGAGTGCAAATATGGTGTTATTGAGAGTTTCGTAAACGTGACTAGCGATTTTTGCGATGTATGTTGAATCGGTAATCGTTAGCTACATATAATTACAGGAGTTCGCGCGAAAAGTTAGAAAGAGCTGAAGAGAAGAAAAGCTCGGAGCTGAAATATTTACGTCGTTGCGGAGTCGCCATTGAGATTGATTTCCAAGAGCGAGATAAGCATCCGTGTCTCGTAAATCTCACGGCAGATCCCATGTTATCCGGTACACTTTTGTATATCATACCTCCAGGTTTGGTTCGTATCGGAAAGAATGCTCCGACGCATAAACTCGAAGTCACTTTTAAACAACTGGATATCCTATTGGACGGACCTCTTGTTAGAGAATTGCATTGGTTAGTCAACGGATTGTGTGTGTGTGTGTTTTATGTTTAGGCAAAGTATGTAGAAAAGAAGGAAAAGGAGAAAGAATGGATCGGTGTGGGAGAAAAGAAGAGATGTTCTATTTATGTCGATACTAAATTTTCTGTTCTGTCTAATATATTTTAAATGTGTATGAATATATTCTCTGTCTTGTACTAGCTTCAAAAGTTCCGCGGATTTCTGAAAAATATAAAATGTTATATAATTAACTTATAGGCACCTACTAATATTTTTAAACAATTACACTATGTGCGATTATAAAGCTGGATGCTTTCCTGAAAAATATATGAAGGTTCTCTTCTCTTTTAAGTTTCATATTTGCAATACGTCAATGTCAATATCATAAAGGTATTGTCCTTTCACGGGTAGGCCATTTATACATCCGAGATTTTTCGTCGTTTTATTTCTTCACTGTTGTAACGTTTGATATCTGTCAACAAATTTGGTAACAAAATTCAAAATTTAATATTTGTATATTTTTTAAATTATAGATATTTTCAATTCCGACTCGATATCACGCACATTAAGAGAGTAAAAATTCTCTTATTATTTTAGAGTTTACAATTAGATAAGAATTTTTCTCGTTTCCTCACAACTTCTGTAAATTATAGTGGTCAATTCCAAGAACTTTTCGAAGCTATCGTATATCTCTATTTATCAGCATGCTTTGCATTGTTTATCTTATGACAAGCCTAATCATTTCTAATTCTAATGCACGTCGCTATTTTTACCTAACACAGCAGATAGTAATTATTGTGTATAAATTGTTTTATCAGTTAGATGGACTAGCAGACGAGGAACGGATTCGGTGTTTTACTTCTGTAAATCTTGTTAATTTTATATGTATAATATTAATATATATTTTTTAAATTAAATTTTATCATATTCATGTTTGCATCAGTATTATGTCGTATTATACAGGTCTCATCTTCATTCATGAGGTCATCTTCATTCACTGAATAAATTGGAATTTGAACAAGAGTCGAGAATCTACGACGCAATACTTAAATTTTATTTGTTGCTAATATATATACGATGAATTGTAATTGGTTTGCAAAATAGATGCATTTATGTATATTACTTGGCAAAAACTAAGTATTTATAGAAATGCTTATTTTAACTTTCTGCTGAATATCTGAATCCTGTTATATTAAATGACTAACGCCGTTTTTTAATCTTTCGCTTATATATTATTAATTAAAATATCGTATACGATTATTTGTTATATCTTCTTTTTTTTCCCTCTAGTGCTATTGAAAATAACGGAAAAAAATTAATCTTGACACCCGAGAAGGGCGCGGATACTTATGTCAATGGACAGGTAATGACAATGAATGGATTAATTGTTAATATAGAAAAAAGATAGATATATTAAATAAAAATATTTCTCTACTTTCCTTTAGATGGTAACTGGAAGAATTATGCTTAATCATGGTGATCGCATAGTCATCGGCGGTAATCACTATTTTAAAGTCCTAAATCCATTTGATGAATCCTACAATATCAAGCGTTCCACACAAGCGATAGATTTTGAATTTGCACACCAAGAAATTCTCCAAATACAGGAGAAAAAGTATGTATTAAAACAATGAGAAAATCAATATAAAATCTTAAGATCCAGTTTTTTTTAAACTAAAATGTAATTATACAAAAAAAATTATCGCTAATGATAACGGTAGAAAATTTATTTACCGTCGAAGAGAATCTATTCAAAATATTTTACGTTTTTGCACTTGCTATCTCTATTATTAGTGACGCAAATAGTTTCGTGACTTATCGATATCGTTGGTATAAGTACTTATATATGCAATATAATTGCGTTTTGTAATTTTTTTGATAAATAACTGTCAGAAATTATTATGAGTTTATTAGTTTCTAAATACAGTAATTTTCTTCAAATAGATTAAGAACTGAATTGGAAGAGTCCAAACAGCAAGCAATAAAGGAACTCGAAAATGCGAAGCGCGAAGTGGAATGGCAACTCGGTTCGCAAAAATCAACGTACGAGCGGGAGATTGAAGTTCTTGGTTCCACTCTGAAAGAGCAAAATCAGGCGCTCGAACAAATTAATCGTAGAAAAAAGGAGCTAGAATTGGAAAAGGAGTTACTCGTTAAGGAGGTAGAAGTCAATAATAAGATTAAAAAAATACGGTTGGAACAAAGTCATGCGAAACTATCACCATACAAATCGAATTTCTTGCAAGAACTTGAGAGTATTTTGAGTGAAAAAACTGCGGATATTGAGAATGTGCTAAAAACAAAACTGAACGGGGAAGCTATAACTGCTGGTGGAATCAGTTTACATGAGATGCAAATACTTGTTAAGGAAGCGACTCAACGATGTCAAGAAGCCAGATATCTTTATGTGTGTAAAAATTTATCTTATAACAATTATATATATACGAATTGTTTAAAATCATTGTATGTAGAACCCACAATTTCTCATGCAAAAAATTATTAAAAAATAGTCTTTCGATTGCTTGTATATATATTTTATACGCAATTTTTATTATTATACTTTTGCTCTAAATTTTTCTCCGAATTGTAGGAATTTGAACAACAACAAACAGTAATGGAAAAGAATTTGCAGTCAGTGATTCGTGTTCGTGATAGGACTAATTCGATGGAAACGCTGTGGCAAGCGACGGATTTTTTGGATTGGGTTTATCGGCTGAGGAACAATGATATAGAAGATTCGATAAAGGAATTGCAGAGTAGTAAATTAAACTGGGAGTGTGACGAAAGTAAGCATACGGAAGTATTTGAAGATTCTTTAAATAACAGTAAGATCTCGATAAATATGACCCCTGTAAAGAGACAATTGAACGAGAGTATCCACCAATTCTCGATGGATGCGTCGATGCTGGAAGCGACGATGAACAATACATCTTTAATACATGATCAACAGGAGAATGTAAATGCATGTCTCACTCAAATCGAAGTCGCCGCAAAAACGTTGAAAAAGTTATGCCATCGGTATCAAAACTACGACACTAAATCGATCGTTGAATCATTGGTTAAGATGCAAGATATTGTAGAGTCCTTAAAAAATATCTTCCAGAATAAAGATTCGAGTGAGTGCGAGGATGTAAGTGCAAATTCGATAAACAGTGCCAATAATACTGTTATCGACATGTCGAACGACATAAAGAACATCTTTTCAAATAAAGATGCAGATGAATGCAAAGAAAAAGATGCTATTTCGATAGATAGTATTAATAATGACTTAGCTAAATTAACAACAGAACTTACTGAAAATTGCTCAAATCATATGTCACCGAAAAAATCTAGTATGCGGAATAACGCGCTAGTTACGAAAGCTGAAAATGTTCAAAAGAACGTAAGGTTTATTGATAAAACTGAAGAACAATGAATCTGATCAAATAAATGACTGCATGAAATATTCATTATTTTTGAACAAGCTTCCATTATTCATTTTAAAAATATAAGAAATATATGTATATAATATTAATAATACATATTACATTACAAATTTAAATTTATGCAATATTTCATTAATTTATATATTTTTATAAGTCATTTTATTCAAACGAGCCTTTATAAATTTTCGTTTTTTATTATTTAATTATTATTCTTTATACAATTTTTTAATTTAGTCTATATTAAAGATCTTATTTTATGTAACTGAACTAAAAAAAGGTTTAGTAGCTACTCCTAAACTACTGAAACATAAGAAACGTATGTACACAAAATGTTACTTTTAAAATTTGTTAGGTAAAAGTAGAATATATTAGTAAATTACTTGTAAATTACAATTTTACTTTAAGTGTAACTTGTAAGAAAAGTAGTACTTATAACTTTAGAATATATTACATTGCCAATTGTATATTATATATGTAAACTAAGAGTTATAATAATAGATTATAATACTGTAATGTATGCTGATGATTAAAAAAGAAAATTTTAATACTTATATTTAAATTTAAAAGATTTGATTCAATATAATTTTGAAACGTATAGTTTGTTTTTCACAGAAATAAATTAAAATTTGTATGCTTATAAGACTGTATATATAAAAGACTGCGAATATTTCATAAAATAATCATATTTTATGTGCCATAGTAATAATAAATATTATAAGTCAAACAATTACAATAGAAATTATATGTATATGTCGTATTTCTGGCGAACGGATGAATCGAAATTAAGTTAATGGTACATCAATCAAAATAATCTTCAATATCAATATCAGGATTTAACAAATCTTCGCCATACATACTTAAATCCAACTGATTAAGTATCAAATTTTCACACATCTCTTCCAAGTCCGTTTCTCCAATGAGCACTGCACCCTGCATTTTACCATCCTGTAAGATAATTTTAACGTACTCCTGATTCTTTGTGATTCGCAAAAGTATCTCGTAATTTTTCCCCAACGTTTGCCCGTTATACAAGCCAAGTAAAACAACTTTATAGGAGAAAAATTTGGTCACATGAGTGAAAAGTTCGAAGCAGAAGTCTTGCAAGAATTCTTCGTTTCGTGAATTTGAGGCCATTGATTTTGCGGCGTAACGGCCCATCTGATGAGCCTGCGTCCACAGTCTCATTTGAAACCAATGCTTTGCTTTCGGCCAACCGACAGTACACACGTCTCCGGCAGCGTAAATATCCTGCTTTGAAGTTTCCAGCTTCCAATCCACTAACAATCCTGAATCCTCCCCTTTTGCGAGATCTTCCAACCCGCGTATGTCAGAATTTGGAGTAACACCTGTTGCTGAGATAATAAGATCGCACCCGATAATTTTACCGTTCGTTAGTTGCACGTAAATTGGCCACTCTTCTGTGGAATCAAACTGTTTTCGTTCATCGAAAGTGAGTAATTTTAATATCTCGCACTCGTATTCAACTTGGACATTTGTAGGCGTAAAATGTGTACCGCTCATATCAAAGCTATTGTGCCAATCCGGGCCAAGAGCAGCCCCATTTTTAAATGGAGTGCTATCCGATACAATATATCTCATTCTTTTAGTTGGCAAATCTTTATTAAGATTTCCTGATACATCAGATTTAGAAGAAATCTTGTCTAAAAAGAATTCTGCAGCTCCAGGATCGACAAAGGTTGCAGAAATATGTTTGTCTTTAATTACCCAGATCATGTCGACGCCTTTAACTTCATGCACTATTTCGGTAGCAATTCCTCCATTGCCAACAATAATGACTTTCCTCGCATCTCTAAGTTTGTGAGAAAATTGTAATACGGATTCCGTATCACGAATACCTATAACAAAATCATTATTTTCGGCTATCAGTTTGGGTTTGGCGCCAGTACAAAGACACAACATCTTAAAACTTATAACTTTTCCACTACCGACTTCTATCAGCTTTTTGATCGTATCAATTTTAACTGCAGTATCATGAATAACTCGTAACATTGTATGCTTCTCGCTTAAGACTGTTGCGCTCTTTTCTTCTACGTCGAAATGCATTAATGTTCTGCCTAATGGGACTATATTTGTCACAGCTTTTACCAGGGGACTAGCGGTAATTAAGATTATGCTTTCATCTGGAGCGAGGAAACTCAATCCTTCAGCACAAGATACTCCAGCTATACCACCTCCTATTATGACAAATGTAGACACTATCTTTTCCATATTTTCCTTGGATTCATTCATATTTAATAAAGGAATATACAGATGTCGTAATATGACAATATAAATAATTAAAGATTAATTGTTTGATGGTTTCCACTCTGAATAATCATATTGCCTTATGGGAAGATCAAATGTAACAGTCCCATAATCTTTGGCCTTAATTAATGCAATTAGGAGTTGTTTGTGCCTCCTTTGGCAAATATTTGTTTTCCTATAAAGATATTTAAATCCATAAGATATATAGGTATGAAAAAATGTAAATGTTAATATAACAAAAATGTGTAAAGAGAAATATTGATAAGGATGAGGAGAGCACAAAGTGCTTCCATAATGCATAATGGATAAAAAAATGAAACAAAGTCCTTCATTTCCTTTTTTTCCATGAAATAAAAGACTGATTGATTTTCTTATGCTTTATGCGTTATACAAAAGTTTGTGTTCTGGCCTTAAATGCTTACGAGTAACTCAAAACGCTTCCGTTATGTTTGTTGATAAATTGCTCAAGCAGCTTGACGTTTCTATGATCAAGTACGAGATATTCGTCTCTACATATGGGACATGGACTGCCAGTCGAAATTTGACCATATCTCTAATTAATTATACAGCATTATTAAAAACATTATCATATTGTAATTTATGAAAATATGAAAAAGATCTGCATACGTACTATGCAAGTTTTTCGAGTTTTCCTAGGTGGAATTTGTCCTTTAAAATTTCTTCTATATATTTTCCATACTGGGTCATCTCCATAAGTTTGTTTGTAAGCTGTATTTTGGAATAATTCCAAATCACATGATAATGATAAGTTTGTAAACAAAATCTTACAATTGTTAAACAATTGTATTGTGTTTAAAGCTCATGAACAATTTCTTACCATCGCTATTCATATACTTGATGCTAGTCTCTACTGATACAATTGGTACACGTGCAACTGTAGGAGTCCCCGCAGCTGAGCTATCATCTTCAGTTGCATTTCCTTCCTCCGAACAACGTGTAAGTGAAAACGTGATGGCTCTCGCTGGATCAAGCTGCAAACAATTTATATCTATAAAGGCGACTTTGACCAAACTTTGAGTAACTTAAATGGCGATTAATTCATTGAGCAATATCTGTACTACCTTATAAATGTAAACAGAATAATGAAATTTTGTTTGATACATAAAAAAAAATTAAATTAGAGATAGTGAATTGTGTAAATAGAAATCTTGCAGTAAACCGTTCTGCCGGTTGGATTAACTACTGATTAAGTTAATCGATGATATTTCTACCAGTGAAGTTGCTGTAAACAAAATTTTTAATTATACAATTTAATCGTTATCCTAGATTTAAACAATACAAAATTACTTCGTTAACAAAATAATGTAGATATTTCTTGATAAGTTAATCGCCGACTGAGTTAATTGGAATTCGGTCAAATATCCTTGAAGAATATAGGCTTACAAATTGTTCAAAAAACTCACTTTATGAGTTAAACTCGCTCGTACCAACGTTCCTGCTCGATGTAGCGTATTTAAAATCGACATGCTCGATGCAATAACTGCGATAAAAAATATTGTTATGGCACAATTACTAGTTATTGTACAATTACATATAGTACTCTATAATGTTGACGTACACGTGATAGAGATAACCTCGAATTTACGATAGCAAATTATCCAGTACGAACAGTTGCGAATTAAATGTATTAAGCGAATTAAATAAATGTATTAAGCGAATTATTATAAATTAAGCATTACTAAATAATTTTTAATTAGGAAATAAAATAATTAATGCGATAGAATGAGAGACAAAGTGCTACGAACGTAATTTGACGAAATTATGATTACAACTAGACTTCTATAGAGGTCTGTGATTACAACAGAATGCACAATGAATATAGGCCTGTTCTATGTAATAAATTATGTTATAGATTTGTTCGCGTAGTTTAAGATCTCAAAAAATTTTTATATACATACGTAACACTCAAGAGAGAAAGAGGAAACGAAAGTACGAGTCTACGAAAGTGTAAACAAGTCCAAATAGTGCAAGCGAACAAACCTAAAGGTGCCTTTCTGAAGAATGGAATGACTTGTGTTGGTCAGTTTCATAACATCGATGTTATAACTTCGGCGTAAAGCGTACCGTGTAAATGTAGTAAATTTCTATCACGTGACTTATTTTGACGCCAAAAATGAGCGTCAGCATGAAAAGACACTTTAAGGACCGGTTTCACCAACGCTAATCAAGTTTAATCGTGACTAATAGCATTTTCGGTCTGGCCATGTTTACACCAACCTGGGTTGGATTAATTGCGTTTTGTTGGATTAATTCTTATTAGTAGAGCGGGTGATGTCAACCAATAGGAAAGATTAATCCAATCAAGATTGATTTTGTCTTTTTCTAGTTCTAAAGATTAGAAAAAGACGAAGAGTAAGTAGAACCGAGATTAAAGTTAATCTACATTGGTGGAAATGGGCATAATTCTTATTAGTAGAGCGGGTGATGTCAACCAATAGGAAAGATTAATCCAATCAAGATTGGTGCAAACCCGATCGGGCCGAAAATGCTATAACTATCAACCGCAATTGGTCGATTCTACTAAACAGCAAACGGATTGGTCAGTCAACGGCCGATTAAGCTAGCTGGCGTTGGTGAACTGGCCCCAAGATCTAGCTTCCATATCTAAAGTCTGCGCTTATTTTCCTGCTGGATTGCTAGCTGGCTTTTGCCACCATATTGGTTGCGATGCTGTCAGTTGCCTAGTTTACACCGATGGTTCGATCCGGGTCAGAATGCAAGAATCAGCCAACTGCAGTCGAGCATTCCCTTGTCATTCGACTGTAACAGAGGATGCAGAGGAATGCTCGACTGCAGTTGTTGGTTCTTACATTCCGACTCGGATCGAACCCTCGGTGTAAACTAGACTAGTGTCAGAAGTCAGTGGTCGTGTTCAAGCCGGACAAAACTGCTAGCCTACTCACCGAGTGATTGCATGCGATTGGTTGGATATATAAGTAACAACCAATCATATTCATTTGCTCGGTAGGTAGGCTAGTTGCTTTGTCGACTTGAACACGCCCAATGCCTCAATTGGTTACGAACCATAAACTACCATAAACGCGTCGTCTTTCCGGTTGACGTATGTCGACGTGATCGAATCAATACAAATTCTAAATAGCATTTACATAGTGCTAACGTAACTTATCCCGGTTTGATGTTACTCATTGAATAGATTTAAATCGCAAACAATTTATTTTCATGCTAAGGTGCAAAAGTTAACGTAATTCGAGAGTACGAACGCGCGTCCGGAGTCATACTTTTGACCAGCTTGGTGGGAGAAACGGAATGTAGCCGAGCAACGAGCATTTCCGCCTTGTTCGTTGATTGCGGCGGTTTTACGCAGTCAGGTGAGGAGCGTCTTAAAAGTTGTCAAGGTCTAATTATATATAGCGGCGGAGGCGAAATAACGAACGGACACGTGTGCATGGTAACGGCGACGGATTCTAGACGACATTTAATTGCAGATGGAAAATGGACGACGGGGCGTGCGCGGATTACGTATGAGGGTCGCGTAGCGTCCGTGGATGCGACAGGAAGAGCCCGCAGGAGCAGCAAGCGGCTTTCTTATTATCAGGATACCTACAAACTCCATATTAGGATATGTTCAGGATATGGTTGCTTGCATCCATCGTGAATATTTATTTTCCATAAAAAGGATTTAATTTTAATCAATGTGAGTGGCTATTTCTATTCTCCAGCAAATAGAATAAAAAAAAAAAAAACAGACAGAGAGATTATAATTAGCGATTTTCACCAAAAGTATCAACATGATACTTTAGTAAAGGCAGAGTGACATATCCAACCAATGCCTGATGGTTGTAAGGCTTCTAAGTCATGTCTCGCGTAATCGTGGCATTATACGGATGTTCGGCGACGTGATAAGGGACAGCGTTATCATTCAACCGAAGGTGAATTCATGACGACTGTTGGTGACGTAATCGCATTCGTGATTTGGGTATCGAGCTAAGATGGTTTGCGAGAAGAACGTCTTTTCAAGTGTCATAATCTGATCGTGCCAGAATATCGTTGAGTTTTCCTATTAAATGAGTGTCGGAGTAGTAACAGAAAAAAAAAGTGTTGAACCTTTTTTCCTTTTAGATACCAATGCGAGAACTATGGACTCCAGATCGTTTTTTGTGTTATATAAATAGATTGAATAGAACGTCGGAGGGCGCGGAGAGGGGGGGGAGATGGGAAATTCGTCACAGCGACGGAGTGACAAAAGCACGGGTGTTGGCTGACGGTGGAGGGGCGTTCGCGATTCCGATTGGTCGCTCGCCAGGCGGGCGAACGGGGTCTCTGCGTCGCGGCTGCGCATTGAGCGGCCGGGCTAGTCGTGTGAGAATTACCATTGCTGATCAGCCGCACCTCGTTTTATCCTCATCTACGTCTTTGGAGCATTTTTAACGAGCGGCTTTTGCGATTCTCACTAACGTATCTATTTTAGAGGGATAGATTCTCTGCGTCGCGGCTGCGCATTGAGCGGCCGGGCTAGTCGTGTGAGAATTACCGTTGCTGATCAGCCGCACCTCGTTTTATCCTCATCTACGTCTTTGGAGCATTTTTTAACGAGCGGCTTTTGCGATTCTCACTAACGTATCTATTTTAGAGGGATAGGGAATGACATCTGGTAAATTACGTAATCCTAAACCTTATTGAGGGTAAATAGGTCATACGCGAGAACTTCGGGGAATTGCTCTTGCAACAGAATATCCGACGTCCTCGTTATGGCGTCTTATCTTTATTGCGCGGCACGCGGTTGTAATTTTCGTAGAAAATTGGACGAAATAACGGAGGTTCGATTTTGAAGGGAATTCTAGTAGTCGAGCGACGAATTAGGTTGAAATACCGCGATACGTTCGCTGGTCAGCCGGTCTACGTTTTGAGCGAACCTGCGAGAACACGTATTCTACAATATGGCGTGATGAGTGCGTCGCTTCTTGCTCGAGTCGCTGGATGCAATTATCAAGTATTTTACGTTTCATTGCAGACGCGCGCGCGGATGATTTTGAGGGTCGGTTCATGTCCAGTGTAATGAAAATGCGTAGAACGTCTTGAACATCAGCAAAATGGTGAGTTTGGCATACACACATATTTTTTTTTTTACTTTTATCACGAACATGACGAATTATCTGACAAACGCATAATTCAGGAGAGATGGCGCCACTTAGCTCGGTAAATCACGAAGGATCAATAACCTTCTGCCCCTCTCTCGACCTCGTATTCTACTTTTTCCGTTACGAAACCTTGGCGCATTTACCGACGTATGAAATTATTCAATTTGCTATTGTTTGTGGGTGTATAATATAAATTTCGTATCTGAATATAATGGTAGACAAATGAATGAGATTACTTTTATTTTTTTTTTTTTATTGTGTATATAAAATTTTATTGTGTAATATAAAATACGCGACAAAAAGATTGATTTTATGTATAATGGTTTTCATAAAAATTGTCTTTATAATTTAATAATGAACAAAAGAGAGAGGTGATGGTTACTTTTAAATCAATTAAAGAAAATTTATAAAATATTTAAATTTATTTAATTTATTAAAAAAAATATTTTTTTTTATATAAAAAAATATAGAGAGAAATATATTTTCCGAATATTTTGTTCAGGTAATACAGAAATCTATATACAAAAAAATTATTTTATAGCAATAATATTTATATATAAATATTAATTATTAATGAAATTTATTTGTGATTTGTCCACTAATATTTTTTTGGAATATTAACATAATCATATCGCGAAAACATAGTTCTGTACTGTAATAAATAATTGTAGTTTGCAAACGACTGGCCGTCGGCCAATCTATTAAGCTAATGACTTTTATTTAACATACTAAAAATATCTTTATGAGGATTGAGTTCAAAGTACTTTTTTTATAACTTACAAAAATCACAAGATAATATTAAAGACTGTCTCGTGGAAATTTGGACTTAAAAAATTTAGATTTGATTAACCTTACATTGTTAATTTTATGATTTATTATTTGACACTTCATAGATATATTGATGTCTATAAGAAATTAAATACACATATATACACGTCTACAAGAAATTATATACACATATATATACAATGATTATTTGATATAAATACAATATTATTTTTTTATTTAAAACTGCATCCTTCTATTATTATTACTTGTACTTGATATTGTCTGTGAATGATAATCATGGAAAACAAAATACAGTTTTGCAACAATATATATGATGTACTATAAATATTTACTTTTTAAAATGAAATATCTCTACAATAATAAATCATTTAATACTGCACTGTAAGCTAATTGTTCAGATATTTATATCAGACTGTTGAAATAGTCTAAAATGTCTATAATCTTCAATTGTTCCCGATCCTTTCTTATGTGATAAAAGAATTTATTTTTTGGATAAGAAATAGTAAGAAATTTATGTTTACTTTAAATCTTCATCTAAAACTTTTATTTAAATTTTATAACAAAAAATGTCAATGGCTGAAAACTTCTTAAGTTTTTCTTAAGATTTAAATAAGTACTTTGTATATCTTTTATTTTTAATAATTTTTTTGTAATATTTTAATTATAATCATTTTGTTTTTATAAATACATGTATATATATCAATAATGTTTTTCTTCTTAAATTTGTATTTCAGCCACGTATAGATCCTCTATCGTTACTCAAATGTCTTAGCGTTTTATTGGGCCCAACAGGAGGTATTAAGAGTAGAGAAGAAGTTCATCGATTAGCTAATTTAATGACAAAATTTTCTAAGAAGCTTGTTTCAAAATGCATTTACATACAAATATTGAAAACGACTAATACGGACTTGCTTAGTCAGTAAGTACTTGAATAAAATCTATATATATAATATTAACACATTTAATTTTACATACTTGATTATATCATTTTTTCCTATATTTTAAATTAGTAATGCAAATTAAAAAAAAAAGAAATTATTATTCAGCATGTTGAGATACACAAGTATATATAATTCGTATGTTTGTGTGAAAGAAATATTATAAACATGCAAGAGAAATTTGTGAAAGGCTCAGAACCATTAGACGGTGCTTATCGTGTGCCGTTTTTACTGATACGGGCCTTACATTTTAATATACTAAAACTCATTTAGAATTTCATAATTTATGTTATCAGAATACAGATCTAATATGTTATTGCTAAAACTTTTTATAGAAGAATAATAATTTAAAAACTTTAAAAATGTAATTATGCGATTATCTTTTGTTATTTATATATGAATTATTTTTAATATTTGTGAAATCATTATGTACTAAGTTTCCAGATTTCAGACGCTACTATATGAATACTGCGAGTGGTGAGGGGATGGAGAGGATAGCCTGGGGCGACAAAAAAACTTGATCGCGTTCAGCAGATTCAACTGTTGTAGAACAAATCCGTGAGTGCTCGCTGCTATTGGATGATTTAAAAGAATACACCAATAGCAGCGAACGCTCACGGATCCGTTCCGCAACAGTTGAATCTGATCCATCTCTATACTACTCGTAGTATTCATGAATACTGAAATCTAACGGCTGCGTTCAGCAGAAAAAGCAACTTTGCAACTGTTGTAAAATTTTTGAATATGATTGGTTTATACATTTAGATCAAGTGAGAAACTAAGAGCAAAACCAATCATATTAAAGAATTTTACAACAGTTGTAAAGCTGCTTTTCCTGCTAAACGCAGCCTTTGCTGTAGCTATTCTTCAAAATATTCAAATTTTAAATAGTATTGGGAAATTAGAATTTAAAATAGAGTATATAATTTAAGATAACATATTATTTATCCGATAGTACAAGCTAATATATTATTTTACATTTTACACTTTCTTTTTTTACAGATTTATGAGCGCTGGAGGATGGAATCTCATTCACACATGGCTCACTGATGGCATTCTTGCCAAGAATTGGGCTCTCATTCAAGAACTTCTCGAGCTTCTGCTGCTTTGTCCAGTAGATATTGAGCGGTTGAAGAGTAACAATTGTCCAAAATTAATCAAGGGTTTGTCGAAGGAAGGTAGTCATCAAGGTGTTAGGACATTAGCTAGTCGACTTGTAGAGCAGTGGCTGAAAATTGTAAAGGGAGAAGCGGCGCCGAATTCGGTGCCGGCTCAAATAATGACGGTTCCAGTACAATCGAATGCTACTATTGCTCAAACCGCGACTACTTCATCATCACAACAACAACAGCAGCAGTTGCAGTACTCTGTGAACACTCCGCAAATTGTAAATATCACTGAAACTGCAACTATTCACGTACAGGACTTGAAGCTCGAACAACAATCTACTCAATCTACTGTGAGTATTCCAATAAATCAGCAAGATCCAGAAAAGCAACAACAACTGCAGGAAAGGCTACAACCGCAAGTGGTGCAAATTGTTGGCAAGGTTCAGCAAACGCAAGTACAACCGCAAGTAACACAACAACAATGTAAAAAACAATCTTTTGTTGTTGTACAAACGACGACGACGACGACGTCTTCGACAGCACCACTGCCTGTTTATAAGATTACTATTCGCGATGGCAATCAGGTTCTCACGAAGGTAGAGACAGACGTCGCGAATATAAATAACGCCCTAAATACACCTAGTACGAGTACGGATAGTGAACAAGTCTTAAACCTTAAGGAAGTTAAGGTAGATTCGGAGGAGTTAGACGAGATAGAAGAAAATGGCAGTGCGACTATTATTCGAGACGATGTAGTAGATGTTGTACAATCAGATGATTCGGGACACGTTCCTAGTGAAGTGAAACAAACTTTAGTTAGTTCTAAAGATAATGAGGATACTGAAGGTGTTAAAAGCAAAGACATTAAAGACTCTAAAGACATTGTTAGTAGTGATAACGGTAAATCTAGTGATAAAGAAAATAGGGACTCTCATAAAAAAGATGATAAGAAATCTAGTAGTTTTGATAAGAAAAGTAGCAGCCATCATCATGGCTCATCTTCCTCTTCGTTATCGTCATCATCTAAAAGTTCTAAGCATGGCACAAGTTCCAGTGCACATCGCAGCAGTTCTACATCTCATAAATCTAGTAGTCACCGTTCCGGTTCTAGTAATAGTAGTAGTAGTAGTTCTAAAAGCTCCAGCTCTAACAAAGATAGGTCTTCCAAGGATAAGGATAAACATCACTCTAGCTCGTCCAGCAAGCATAGCTCAAATAGGAGTAAATCGGAGCGAGACAAGGAACGGGATAAGGAGAAAGAGAAGCAGAAAAAGGATCAAGCCGAGAAGGACAAAGCGACTCTGGAGAAGGTACAGGGTATAGCTCTGAGCTCTAAGATGGGTAAGATACCGAAGAAGCGAACGGAAGATGAGAAATCAGGCGATACAAGTGGAAGGAAGGCTTCAACCGAGTCGCGCGATAGCTCGAAAGAAAATAAAGAAAAGGCAGATTCGAAGAAAGATGTTATTGCGACAAAGCAAATTATTACCGAAAAAAAGAATATATCTATTTCCATTGAGAATAGAAAAAGTAGCCAGGATTCAGGGACGCGACCAAAGACTGTGAAGACGTTTAATTCTAAATTCAGATCTACGGGTCTAGAAGAAGAAGTAAAACCACCACCACCTAGATCGAAGAAAGTGGCTCCTGTTGTTGATAAGAAGATTCTACCTCCGAAATTACCCTTGAAGAGGCCATCGCCCATGAGAGACGTTCCATTGGTGGAGAGACGTATGAAGGTATCACTGGATTCGCCAACAACCCCACCAAGCGATGAGAAGAAGGGAGGAATTAAGCTGATTCCGCCAAAACCTAAACGTAAGTATACTGGTATCCTATTACAAACTGTGTATAAAATTTCTTTATTAATACATGATTTTTATCATAATTTTCTTTTAAAATACTGATACTTTTATATTAATTTAAATGTAAACATATGCTAATGTCCTTAGATAAAGCAGTCTATAGATTAAATTTTTAATTACCTAGAAATTTTACTCTATATACACTATATAAGATTAAACTTTTAAGTTTCATTCGATATGAATATCGGAAATATAATTAAAACCTTAGAAACATTTTTATATTGAATTATTAATATTAATTTTAAAGAAATAGTAAATACAGAAAAAATATGTACAAAAAGAAAAAAATATCTCTTTAAAATCTCTATTTAAAATCTCTTAATGTTTTATTGATTGAAAAAATTTATCAATGGTCTAGTAAAAATAGCAAAAGAGAAGTATAGAATAGAGTATAAAATATATATTATATTTTATTTTGAAGATTGTTGCATAAATTTTGTTTTATAAATATGTAATTCATCAACATATTTTATATATATTTCCAAATCTATCATTTTTTAATTATATGCATATAATTTTTATTTTATTCACATTAAAATATATTCTCAATGATATATTAAAATTCTCAATGAGGAACCGAAATAAATAATTAAATATATAATTATATGTTTATAGTATTTTTATATTCTATTTAGAATATAAAATGTATTATTTTATTACTGCTTTACCAAATTTATCATCTATCATTTTTATAACAAGACATTATAATGATTCTTTTATATTGTATATTGTATAGGCTCTAAGTTCTATTTTGGTAGAATAATGATTGTAAATGAATATAATGACTGCTTAAGCTTTGTACATTGGCGTGCTGCATTATATATACTTACTAACTCTGTAATATTGAGTTTGCAGATGGATGGCCGCTGAAGACAAACAACGAGATCCGGTATTATTTAACGCGATATTTTTACATATTGCGAATATTACTGATAATTTCTCTGTTTTAATGTTACATCGGACATTTTTTGCCTATGTGTACCTTTAATTACTGTTTCTTCCAGGCATATCATAGCGTAATATTTCTTAATAGTATACCCTTTCTCTATTTTCCCCAAAAAAATTATTACTAGCGTGTCTAGAAGATATAATAAGCCGTAATGATTTATTCATCGTGCAGTATGGAGAATTAACGGCTCTTGTTGTGTGTTCTGTGCGGATCACAGAAAATTAACATCTCTTGTTAGAAGAACGAAGCCATTAGGATTGACATCAAATGACATTCGACTACGAACTTTTTCATATATTAAGAATCTTCGATTTAGCAGGTAATCGATAAAATATTCATTAAAACGCGATTTTTCCAATCAGTATTCACACGATTGAAAAAGTATATATTTTATAAGCAAATTTAATTATTTCGGAGTAAGACACATTATTTCTCCGTTGAGAACAATAGAGAATATAAAAACAAGTGTTCTATTTCGATGGTTGGCATTGGGTCTGTGTTTTAATCTTCGATATATGAGTGAGGCAACAATACGAAGGCATCATACTGGAATAATCTTCCTAATTCTAATCTTTTACTAGGTAAGGCAACAAGTCTTGTCTATTCATATATATTTCTTCCTTTGTACATGTACACCCTTTTTAAACATTTGAATAAATTTATCAGAAATCTAGAAATATTTAACTCGTCGGTTTTTGCAGTACTACACATCTTGCTTGCTGTACGAGCAATTGTGCATTGCTTTTTGATAACGAGTAATCGTATGTATCGCGAGCCCATCCAGATTTCCATCCTCTCATTGATTCTTAACAAGCAAAATACGTAAATACGTAAATAATAACGTAAATATTGCTTCGAATTATTCGATTTTTGGGAGGAGGATTATGTTAACGTTTCTCAGATTAGAGTATTGCGTTTAAATGAAAGTTTCTTTTATTTACATGAAGATGGTTCCATTAGTCGTCGAATATATCCCAGCTAAGTGTACTTTAATAGATTTTGTAAAGCGTTAATTGACAAATGATAAGATTACAAAATTTATACAGAATCTGTTATATTGAATGTCACAAAAAATATAATTAAGAATTTGTTTACACAATCGGGCATTTACACGCAAATTTGGTGCAGATTTCCGACAGTGGAAGTTTAACAGAATCTGCTAAATTATGTTGACAGACAGACTTTGCAAGCAGATACGAGCGTAATACAAATATTAATATATTGAATTTGCATTTTTTGAACGAATTTCCTGCCATTCTGTTAATAGTTTGTAAACAGTTGCTTACTGGGATATATATTTGTTTGCCAACGAAACGTGAATATTTTGTCCAAGAGATATCGGCGGATAATGTCATAATTTTTCCATATGTACAAATCTGTGAATTTATCAGAGAGAATTGAAATTTGCGTAGGGCAAGTGATTCAACACCTTTAATAGATGTGCAAGGAGAAAAAGTGATAAAGTATTATTTATTTTGTGAGATAGAGAGTGAGAGAGAGAGAGAGAGAGAGAGAGGAGAGAAAGAGAGAGAGAAAGTGTAAGAAAAGAACGATTGAGAGTGTGACTGAGAAGAAGAGAGACTGGTGAAGAACTAAAGACAATTTCGTGAAGCAACGTTGAATAATGCGGTGGACCGATGGATTGAAAGTAGCACTGAAAGTGCACGAATTCCCAAGCTGCATATTCGACGTCTTCGAGCAAGAAGGCCTCTCGGACCAGCAGGGCCCCCTTTACAACCACCGACATCGTCGGCATGGCGCTTCTTTGCTAATTGTTCATGTAGCTAAACGAAACTGGAGTGAAAGAGACAGGATCGTAAAAAAGAAAAAAAGAGAAAAGATAGAGGGCCAAGATAGATCGCGCTCCAAAATTTGCAGCTCAAGCGTGTATCTATATAGAATACTTTTTTGGCAGTTTGCATTTGATGGAAAATGATATTGTTAAGAAATTCTTCATAATTCTACAAAAGTTGTCAGAAATTAATAATTATTCGCGATAATTGCATTCGCTTCAACGGATAAACGTGCAACGAAGCACGTGTACAACGAAAGAAAGTTGTATAACGCGGCTTGCGCGGGGCTTTTTCTGTATCCGTGTCGCATGGCGTCGATGACGAGATTCGCGCTTCATCGCAAATTTTGGTGCGACGACAATTTCATTTCGCGTCTCGGAAAAATTACGCAAGATTTGATTTTTGGAAAGTTACCTCATGTGGACGGGGAAGCTCGCCGCATCGAGAGGACGGGGTGCAACGAGGTTCGTGAGACGAATCACGTGTTCCAGCCCACGTGTCGGCGATGAAATTTTGTTGCATCTCTCTTGCGACGATTTCAGCGTCCGAGTTCTGTCCCGGGTTTGGGACTGACTTTACGTGGGATTTACGCGCGACACCGTGTGTAAGTTCAAACGAAATCGCGCTTTCGCGAGAGATACACTATCGCAGAGACCGATGTTTTTGCGACCGTCTCCACGCCGACGCACGTGGCTCATTGTCCGTGCGTGTGCAGGTGTGCTGCCGTTGGCTGACGTATACCGCGCTACGGGATCCATATCTACTAACAGTTCGACGCACATCGACTTGATTCCTCCTTGCGCGGCGTCCACCGCTCTCCGTGAGATTTGCGGAAACGGAAAAACTATTCTATCCAAAAGAGTGCAAATATATGCATAATTGCGCTCGGATAATAATTTTTCTTGATTTATCAATACATAATTAATTGATAACCTTTTTTATCCGTTAACATGGTTATTATACGGTCGGCGATCGTATTTGAGAGAGCGCGGAAGCGTTTTCTACGATCCTCACACGTGCTTGTATATATTTTGTGATATTTTTATACACGCATATAGAAAGATATTCTATTTTTAATTGAATAATATATAAAAGAGAAAGTATACAAAGACACGATCATGGCAGTATCTAATTATCGATTTTTATTCTAACGCGTTTAAAAACTTGGAATCGGTAGAAAATTTATTCAAATTTTGTGCTTTTTAAATATCGAAAAACAAGAATCGTTTTCCATCAAATACATATCTTCGATTGATATACTTGGACTGAATGGTTTTACAAACGAAATATTTGCAGAATATTTGCATATAATCAGATAGAATATTTTTATTGTTTCTTTTTATACACATTGACATACACACATTGCCATATTGTAAATTGTTAGGCTAATGTTTAAAATTAATAGGCAATAAATCCTATTAAATGTACAAATAAATAAGATTATCTCGAATTTATTTCGGAGCTGTAACATGCGCCGATTTCATTAGTATTGTATTGAATTATGGATTAAAGAGCCAGCAAAGTGATTGTGCTTTTAGAATGCGCGTTTAAATTTATCTTTGGAATATGTTGACACGTTTGCTCGATAAAAAAACTTCTATTGTGCAAACAGAATAATATTTACTGTCATTTAATAGCACATTAGTTGTTATTCTTATACAAATAATATATATATATATATATATACCGTTTCAAGTGCACATTCAAAATTGTTTTTGGATACAGTGAAATCTCGATCGCAATTTAAGTACATATTTTTAATGTATAATTTAGTTTCAAATTGTTACAACTGTATAAAATATACGTTTATATATAATAATATTAAACGAATAATAAATAAATAAAACGGGATACGAATGTTTATATAGTTTCATATTAATTTAACTGAAAGTACGAGACAATGAAAATTGTAACGATTTATTTCTTATGTATATATGTATATATACATAGGAAAGTTCTACTAGTTTCTTAGATGAGCGATTAGAATCGTTTATATTGTTATTTGCACGAATGAATTTCAATTCTTACAACATTGTGAACTTTCGCATAATTTTTAATCAACGTGACGCAATGAGGTATTTAAAGACCGTGGATTGCATCGAGAGTATACCTTAATACACGACACTATTCGACGAAACTCTGCTTAGAGAGCAGATAAATGTCATGTTTTTCTTTTTTATCATAGATTTGTGTGGAAATAAAAAAATCCTTCATAACACAACCTATACTCTCCTTAATTTTTATGTTAATTTCTATTGTTGCTTTTTATTTCAGTATTGTCAGTGTATACTTTCTAATATTTGAGATATAACTCAGTTATTCTATTCATTATTCGAATTTGTGGATTTAATAAGAATATCTGAATAGTATCCAAATATTGATAGTATTACTCTACATTGTATCCTTTAAAATATTAAAAAGCTAGTTTAATACAAATCCTATTTTGTTTGTAGTATGTTAAAGCCTTTTTCTATTACTTGTAAAATGGGACAGCGATTCTATATGATGAAAATATTTATCCACATGAAGGATGATAAATTTACGCATATAAAGAATGATAAATTTATACATATAAATGATAATAAATTAATGCATATAAATAATAATAAATTTATATGCTTTAGTGTGTTGTGATACATTTCTCTAAGATTATTCCTTATATTAAATTGCGATTTAAAAAAAAATAAAACATAAAATGATAAACGAATATCTTTCTTAATCACCATATTAACATAATACTTATGTATGTAATAGCATTTTTTCATATATATGTATATATAGAAATCCCAAGTAGCACAGCAGCGCTTGCAAAGCATTAAAAAAGTGATTATATGCGCTTTTTTAGCGCTTTGTTAAGTGATTATATGCGCTTTTTTAACGCTTTGTAAGCGCTGTGTGCTACTTGGGATATCATTTTTACAATTTGTAATAGTCAAGATCTTATTGAAGCGACTTAAATTTGTTTTCATAATAAATAGACTTATATTGTAAAGACAACTGTAATTTAAATACAATTATTACAAATTTTCTTTTTGCTTATGAATTTTTTTATTATGAATATACGTAATCGCAATTGTTATCGCTATTTTGTATGATTTTTATGTGCAGTAAGAATAAATATAAAAATTCATTTTATAAAGAATGTATATCAAAGAAATATATTCAACAGTTTAATAAAAACTAAGTATTGAATTAAATTAAATAATAAATATCAAAGAAGAGCGCCAATAAGAGTGAACACAGAAATCGTTATAAATTTGTTGATAATAAATCCATCACACAATCCGTTCATAGCTTTCATAACGATCAAATAATGTTTTACTGTTCACCAACAATTTCACGGAAATTTTGCACTGAAAAGAATTCGAATTGTAAATTGAAATATCTATATATAATTGTATTATACGTTCGTTTTACAGAAAAAGTCTTTAAATAATTAATTAAGTAAAGTTATTAATACTAAAAAAAAACTCCGTGCTGGCTTTTATTAGCATATTCTTTTTTGATATTTATTATTTAATAATCATGTGAAATAATACCTAATATTTATCTTACACTTTTCAGTGATGTAATTATAAAGTGATTTAAAGAAATATATATTTTTTTGTAAATCGTTATTGCCTTAATTTTAAAATATTTCTTTATATAATAATGTTAAATTAAATTATAGACATTTATTATACAAAATATAAATGTACATATAACATTGTTAAAATATTATTGATTTTATTCGATATATCAAAATTTATTTTTTTTTCTACTATTATAGTATGATGTGCAACATAAAAAATCATCTTGAATATATTTTATCCAATTTAATAAAAATAAAATTTATAAAGAAACACTTATTATTTTCTCTCAAAAATAAATATTAAATATTACAAGTTAAAAAAGCTTTAATAAATTAAATAATTTATTTAAAAAGTATAAGAACTCTTTCAATAAATATTTGTAGTTAATAATATATAATAATTGTATTGGATGCATAATTACTTTTCGTTCAAAATCGTTATACTCTAATTTACGTTTATGTTGCACACACGGTCTATTTCTTACGGCTCGTATATCACTTACGACCTAGAAATATAATAACACCATTATTATTGTCTAATTTGTTTCTTAATTCTTTTTATATTATTTATATAACTAATATATATATGTGGGGACAATGTAAGACATTCTTTCAAAAAATATACTACTGATTTAAATCTATATCTCTTTTCTCTTACAGGATGTATTGAGCAGAATTGAAGACAAACTCTTTTCGGCAAACAAGTTATCGTTAATTTCAATTATAAAAAATGTTTCCTGACATTAAAGAACTGGTATTTTATTTGCAGCTGCTGAAAAGTGGGAAACATTTTTTATTTTTTCAGATACCGAATGCCGAATACCGAATACTATTAAAGCAATGAATGAATCCTCATGACTTTGCGACTACCGGCATAATATTTTTACGTAACAATTTTTGCAAATCACAAATCCATTTACAGAAACAGTAAAATATATAAGTAGCTTGAAAATATATTTGATGTAATTACATCAATTATATAATTATATATACAAGTATTTCTTACTGTTCAGGCATAATTTCAGATATGAATTCAGAAAATATGATAAGCATAGTTTATATAAATATATTTTTTGAAATGATGAATCGAAATTATTGAAAAAATTGACAAAAAGAATTATTTAACGAGATAAGAATACTCAGAATTGAGAGTTCAGAAATGAAATAGAAGCAGCATCTATACTAATTCGTTTCATCATTTTGATGTCAAGAGTTTCTTTGTGGAATTATGCCTATGTTAGGAGAAACGCTGTATATTTATAAATTTTTATAGTATAATATGATGAAACGTATCGCTGTTTTCCAGAATCGTTTTAAGCAGAATTTCCAAGATGTGCTCCACCTCTCTTATTTCTTTTAGAAAATCTTGAAATTTTGAATATTTATTATTCGGCTTTAATGTCGTGTACACTGCAGATTTTCGTATTTATGTTTCTCAATTGCTTTCAATTTCAGATACCGGGATAGCCAAGTTGAAATTTAATTTTGCAAAATATTTTTTTACTCAGAGAGAAAGAGAGAGAGAGATAGAGAAAGAGAGAGAGAAAAGTTGCAGATTCAATAATTTATTGTTGTTTTCTTATCATTAACGATAATTCTCAAAATTTTTTCTGTTTTCAGCGATGATGCTACAAGAAAGCGACATGTTCATGGATGCTCTCACTGCGTCTACCAAAAGCAAGGAACCGAGAAAGCGTAAACGGAGAGCTTCGATCACGAAAGATGGACCCTCAGAAACTAAGAAACAAGAAATTATTAATTCCGATAATCGCGAGAGCACGCCGCCACCTTCGCCTTCAAATGTTGAAGAGAAATCGTCAGTCGCTCTCAAACCTAATTTTAAGGTAAATATGCCGGATATATAGAGTTGGATATAACATTATTATACTATATAGTTGTACAAATTTATTACGTAATAACTGAATTTTTTTACAGTTCTATCAGGACACGCTGGAAATAGAAGAAGATAAAGATCAAAGAGAAAGAGAAAGTGGCGAAGAAGAATCGAAGAAGGATAAAGATCTGATGCTTGATGAAGAGAAAGACAATAGAGACGATGATGATATTGGAAGTAACAGTACGTATTATTTTACCATACCTATTTCATTACCTCTTTCTACCAATGTAGATTAACTTCAATCTCAGTTTAACTCGCTCTTCATCTTTTTCTAATTCTTAGAACTAAAAAGAAATGAAGAGTTATAGCGTTTTTCTTTAGAATGCACTGGGTATAGCTTTGCATCGCACAAGTTGCGTGTACACTACTTCATTATGCGCTAAAATCCTGCTACCGGTTAACTTCCATTTTCAAATTTTAAATAGCACACTGGCTCCACACCGTCCCGTTGAGACGGTATAGCAAAATCGCACTTCGTGCATAAAACTTGCTTTACACCGTAATCACGCAAATACGGTACGCCTACTATTATATAAGCTATGGAAACGCTATTAATTGAAAGATTAAAATAAAAGTGGACATAAGTAGCGAAAAATATCTCCGTTAAAAAATTAAACTGCACATAAAAAATTATATAATTATATGGCTTTATTTTATTTACATATATAATTTAATATTTTTTTATACATTAAAAATTAATGTTATTATTATAATATACCTTAATATTACAAATCATTCTTCTGTATCATCATGTTAAAACAAGAGTTAAAATTGTCTAAATAATAATTAATATATATTTGTTTTATCCTAGCACCGACACCCGAGGATGACGTGGACGAAATGAAAGACGTAGAATCACCAGAAGATGCGTCTTCAGTAGTTTCCGATTCAATTAAGAAGGATAGTTCCTACCCCGAAATACGATATGTAGATGGACTTAAAAGCGTTCTACTACTTCAAAAGCGTAAAGGGCCGAAAAAGGTTTTGAAGTGGAAGACAGATCTAGAATCTATACGTTATTTCGAATTGGACGAAACGGAAAGAGTTAACGTAACGAAGACATTTACCGACATGAAACAGATGGAAAAACAAAATGAGAGGGAGGCATTCCAGATGGCCCGAAAATTAAGTACGTATTCATAAGATAATAATATAATTCTTTTAACTACAATTACATCATTAAGTATTTGTATTTATATAAAGTGCAATAATATACTCGAAAATTATTTTACAGTTATTTATTTTAATTATTTATATTCCAAGCATGATTATATATATACATATATATATATATATATACAGAATATAATATATAAAATGCTTTTTTGTGTTATTAGATACTGAAGATTTAATGGAAGAGAGAACGAGATGGAAACCTTTAATTCCGATTGATCTACCTCCTCCGTTAGTGGATCCCGGGAAGGACAGCAAAGAGAAGGATATTCAATATGCTCGCGAGAAGGGCATTCTACAAGCCCTTTATTTTAATCGAAGCATGTACGTAATAATTTCGTTGATATTTTAACGACATTTCGCGACAACGAAATGAAATATATTTTTGTAACATATTTTTTTATAACATATTTATTGCACAAAAATACTAAACAATAGAAGTAGAAACCGTATCTATATCTGCTCAAATAGCACAGTAGCTGTTAAAGCATGCTTCTATAGAATCGTCTCTGTAGTTTGGGACTGCATACAACACTAGCCAAACTAGGCGAAACGAACTACATTATTCTAGTGTAGGTCCTTAGACATTAGGTCCATACTCAGAAATGAGAGAGCGGATAGTCTGGCAAAGCTGGGAGATTAGAAGTGGGTCCGGCTGATCAGACTGTTACAGTTTTCTTTTCCGTGAATAAAAGAATCATTAAAGATTGATTGGAGCAGGAGTATCTGAGCTCACATTAAATGGTAAAGGGCTGCCGACAATCCAATTAATGAAACAAGCCAATCAGGACAAAGGAGTTAATGACAATGCAATGGGGAGAAAGAAACTGAGATTGACCTTCTTATGGGAGTATATCCCCCAACGCTCATCTATATGACTTTAAACTCGCCACTGTTCTATGCTCACTTGTAAAAAAATATAGATCTGGGGCTATATGTTTATTGAGCCACAGGATCTAGAAGAAAAGAATAAGCAGTCTCATAAGTTTAATACGTTGTACAGAGCTAGGATTAACTGCTTAACCTCGTAAACAAGCGAGGAGTAATAAAGGAATATATAATATCTATAAATCTAAACAATAATAAATAATAAGAACTCCTCAATATTGAAACTAAAATTATAAAAAAGCATTTTTACTTTCGCATCCAATGTTTCACCAGAGGAATTTGGAATTTATAATTAGTATTTTATTAGCGAATGATAATCCAATTAATTTTATTTTTGACACAATTTTTGAATGATTAAAGTGTTTTTGCTTAGTAATAAAAGAGGATGTTAAAAAAGTGTTGATTTTGGCCCCCAAGGGCCTGAATAGACCTTGAAAAATCATCGGATCCTTAGAAAATAAGAAATAACAATTTGTTCAGGAAGTAGTGAGAACATTGCTAGAATAGCTTAAATATAGTAAAAAATGACACTCAAAAACCTTTATTATTGATAGCTTTACATCACTCCTATATTTGCGACTTCATCATATAATACACAAAATAAGATAATTGGCCCAGCAATGGATACTTCACTAATAATTCGTTTTTGGGCTTGTATGCAATTGACATATTAATCCCATCCTGGATAGTGCTAAAGTAGTCCGCAATCTTTATATGAAGAATGTATTTATACGTTTCTGGCTAAAATCAATATTTTTCACTTATTAATTGTATATGTGAATGTCATTTTTTACTATATTTAAGCCGTTCTAGCAATGTTCCCATCCTCCACTTCCCGGACAAACATACACACACACACACACACACACAAACGATTGTTATTTCCTATTTTCTGAGAACCCAAACTGATTTTCCAAGACCTATTCAGGTGTACCTTGGGGGCTAAAATCGAAACTTTTTAAATATTCTCCTTTATACGACAAAGAAAGGCTAGCAATAGTAATTCTAAAACTAATTCTTTGTACCATACATTAAAAATATTTCCAACAAATTTAGAGACATTATAATGTACATACAAAAATGTCTTTTTGCAGTCTCAATAAATTAAATAAATTTATTAAGGTGCATAAAGACTTATTTCCAGATTCCTCTAAAAACAACGTTATTTACCGCATAAATTGTAGTGATTGTGATGCGTCTTATGTGGATCAAACAGATAGAAAATTACAAACCCGAATTTCAGAACATTTTAACCATATTAAAAGAAATATTCTTCACATACAATTATAATGGAGCATAGGATGCGTTACAATGGGCACATTCAGCAGACTGAACAGTTGAGTGAGCGCTCGCTGCTATCGATGTATTCTTTTAAATCTAAAATTCTTATTGGATGAGCTAAAAGAATACATCAATAAACAGCGAACGCTCACTCAACTAAGTATAAGCATATTCAGGCATATGACGGCCAAAGCTAGATCTTTTTTGCCTAAATAATTCCCAGTGAATTATCTATATCCTATATATGTACATGCATATATATCATATTTTTGTAGTTATTCAAACTGCGCGTTGAAATTTTTCCGGACTTTATCTAATGCAATTAAACTACTGCAATAATATCACGAGTTAAATTAAATTGATAATGTGCTGAAAACCTTAAATAAATTTATTGCGAAAAATATTACCTCGGCCGGGACTTGAATCCGGATCTCTTGTATTCCGTACGAGCGTTCTAAGCCATTAGACCACCGAGGCTCACTCAACTGTTAAATCTGCTAAATGTACTCATTTGGTGCGTTCAGAACGACAACCGCTCACTGAGCTCTTTCATCTGATTGGTCTATATTTTAGAATCTAATGGAATATGCCAATCAGACAAAAGAGCTCACTAAGCGGTTGTTCTGAATGCTTCCAATGGTTGTGTACAGCAGACTTAACTGTTGCGAAGTAGATCCGTGAGCGCTTGCTGCTATTGGATGATCTAATACGTGATCTACAATAGATAGTAGCAGTAATGGATTAAGGATGAGGCGTTGAATAGAATCAACCAATCATAGCTGTGAGGATAATAATCAACTATGATTGGTCGATTTTTATGCCTACTCTTTAATTCATTACTGTTACTGCTCATTATGACCACGTATAAAAGAATACACCAATAGCAACGAGCGCTCAACACGACCAATCATGAATTTCATTGGGAAGATGTGAAAATTTTAGATATTAAAAGTATTTTTAATAAGCGCGCGCGCGACTCATGTCAAAAATAATACACATTAAACAATAATGTAATGTTCTTAACTTAAAGACAGATATCGAAAATCTAGATTCTCCGTATTTTGCGGTTTTCAATGTGGCTAAATATTTTGTATTTTTTAACAAAAATCTTGACAAGTTCCTGCGTGATTTTAGTCTAATTCGACAACATTTATTTGCAATTTTACGTTAGAAATGGACATAGCAGGACCGTTGTCTCACTACAATTTTTACATAACACTATTATAAATTATTAAAAAAAAATTTTTTTATCACTCACATTTTTTATTAATGTTTGATCATCGCTTCTATACAAAAATTCCCTATTGGATTGCGGGGGTTCGTGGCGAGTATCTGTTATAAATTTATGAGTCTTTCATCATATTGTATGTGTCCACATTATATTGTTTACAGTTTCTGATTCCAATGAATCAGGAAACTCTTGGATAACTCACACAATGTATAGAAATACTGCACTCATTTTGTTACCTTTAGAAGGCGTTTCACTGAGGATGACTTAAAGATGAAACATTTAATTATTATATATTGCTACATTTTAATATGTAATAATTGTAATAAACACAATATATAATCGCACTGTTAACTACGTTGACTTATTTTTTTATAATTTTAGTTTCTATAAATCTAGATTACGCTAAGGACTGTTCTAATCCATTTTATTACTTCTATTTGTACAAAAATAAATTAATTTTATGTAATGAAAAAAAAAAGTTTTTACAAAACTATTTAGATGTAAAAACGTCTTACACAGAATTGATGCTTTCAGATGCGCAACCGCTTACTGAACGCTCAGTGTGCTCTTTCATCTGATTGGCATATTCTGTTAGATCCTAAAATAGACTAATGAAAGAGCTCCCTTAGCGCTCAGTGAGCGGTTGCGCATCTGGATACACCCAATGTAGCATATATTCAAATTTTCAATCAGTTGGAAATTTTCAATTCTGATTACTTTTGTACTATAGGATTCCAGATTCTGCAGCCGAACCTGATGAAGAACGGCATCACCTACTGACCGATCCTAAAATAATACCATTAGAAGATCTCACGGGCAATAAGGAGAGCGAGAAGGATTTCACAGCGGTACCATGGCCGGAACCTAAGCCGCAACCACCACAACCGTCAACTGTAACGACGTTCCATTATCCGACGACGTATCCGCACAATCAACAAAACATAATGACACCTATGGGACCTCAACCGACAATGGGCCCCATACCGCAAATGCCACAACAGATGATGCCTCCCACGCACATGGCTCCCATGACTCAGGAGATGGCGGGACCAATACCAGCCACCGGTGGTGGTGGTTGGAGAACAGGCGATGGCAAAGTTCTCGTGCCAGACGTTAATATAAACCCGATGACAAACATGTCGGGTGGTTTTAATCAGGGGATGGAGGGTGCTCCCATGGTACCACCGGGAATGATGGGACCACCGCCCATGTATAATCAAGAGGGCTATGGCATGATGTGCCCAGATGACATGGGATATAATAACTTTCAAGGTCCGCCCGGACCGATGTACGGTCCTCCTGGACCTAACTTTCCGGGTCCGAGAGGCGCCCATATGCATAACAGAGGTAGAGGGCCTGGTTGGGGGTATCGTGGACCTGTTAGAGGTGGTTGGAGGGGCGTCGGCGGAGGTGGATGGCGAGGAAGTGGAAAACAACCACCGGTATGTAGACAATTTTCGAAAAATGGTTTTTGTCGAGTCGGTGATAAATGCCAATATCTTCATCCTGGTGTAAACTGTCCGCCGTTTTAAAAGTGAAACTGAAATAGTGTGATAATTAAATTGGATACTAGTGATTTAATATTGACTGAGTGATATTGAAAGAATGTCTTCAATTGGAAGTACTCAAAAAGTGACGAAGCAGAAGAGAAGTGGAATTACTTGGCTGCGTTTTAATGATATATTCATATTATCGATAATTTATCTATGGAACTTGTATCGATGGCAACTTGTTTGGAGAGCAGATTCGAGTGCACACGCGAACAATGCGCTACAAGCAATTCCCAAAGCGATTAAGTGATTAATGTGCAATTTTTTATAAAGAGCCTCTGACTACATATGAATACTATTTCTATCTAATAATACTCGATGCGTTTAAAAGTTATGTAAATATGATGACATTTCAATGAATGTGATATAAAGTTGTCACAGCACTCGATATGGTCGATTGCAAGCGCATTGTAAAATTGAATTGTAACCATACTAAATTCATATCGGCTGCTGGACAGCAGAGCATTTGAGAGATTGTTAAATTAATCCTTTGTTCAATTCTTCGAATTCTCTTATGATTTATTTCTAGAATCATACCATCGATATTTGAGTACGAGATTTTTCCTTCCTTTCTTTTCATTATTATCCTTTCATGTTTGTATTTCCTATACGAGGCCATTGCCGAGATTATAATTATTTAATATAGTTATATTAAATAATTATATTAATATAATTATATTAATTTAATCATTTAATATAGTTTCCAAATACGATTCAAAAAATTATAAAGAAAGTTGAATTATATTGATGTGACAGCTAAAGTATTCTACACACATTCTTGAAATTTTTTATTGAGACTCATGCTGTACGTTACCACCACTTCATGCTTAAAATAATCGAAATTCTGAGACAGAAGCAATGTCAATAATAATATTCGATAGTAATTCCTAATGGAATAGGAATTTCAGTGTGACAAGCTCACACTTTGGAACGTGGTGCTGCGTCCCGCTAGAAGCGAAAGTTTAACAAAAAAATGAGGACAAGTTTATATATTTTAGCATAATAGAATAATAATTTGTATGTGTAGATTCTTTGTAAATATGTTTGCATTATATATATATATATATATGTATAAGCAGATTATTCTCTATACAATAGAGATAGACTGTTAGGTTTATAATTAATTGCGTAACAATGAAAAGACCAGGACAGTAATATATAATGGGAATCATATGTACATGCCCTTTAAAGTTATAATCGACCTGATATTATTTGAATTAATTTTCTCGAGTTTGATGTACAAAATCATGTAATAATTCTTTATAATCTGAATCATCATGGTAGCCCAAATGCAAATTTTTTACCTTTTAAGATGATTAATTACACTTTTTTGTATATGGTTGAACATTACGTTTGTACATAACATATTGTATAAGCTTAAAGAAAATACACAAGTCACAATTATTTTTTAAAATTGTCCAATAATTTTGTGAATTAAAAATATCCTTTATTATATATAACATATATTCACTAAATTAACACGGTACTTCAAGATATCTTGTATCTTGTACCACAACTCTATTTTACTCTATTAAATTCGTCAATTTAATAAATAGATTTTAACATATTTTTCAGTAAGCGCAAAGGAAGTTATTTTATATTCAAAGATTAGAAATTGTAGGAAAATCCGAAAACATTTAAATATAATTCAATGCAGGAAGTAGCATATGAAGATTATAAAGATTAGATACAAATAAATTCTCAGAATCACACAATAAGATGTATAAAAGAGATCTCTGTAAAAATACCAGTGACAATTTATTAAATTTAAATTTATTTAAATTGCTGAGGTGGAGGTCCAAAGATACTGCCACTCTGTTTGCTCGCAGTTCTGGATGGCGCGAAGCCAAGCATTTTCTGGATGTTCTAGAAATGAGAAGTACCAAAAAGATATTTGTACTTGCCCACGCAATCGAGACAAGCTGAACTTACCTGTCTGATACTCATTGTACACAATATGTACAAAAATATGAACGAGCACTCCGTGTAATCGTCACCTGGGAGATTTCTATGCGACAAGCCTTGTATCCAGCTGATTGGGACGAACGGTAATCTGGCGACCACTCGTCCGTCGAATATGTTGTTGAACATACTTAATAACGCAGTAAATGCAAATCCAATCGCGAACATAGATTTCATCTTCACAAGGGAAAGGTCTCGATTGTTGTTCTTCAACCTCTCCTCCTCCCGTTCGATTTTTTTCTTTTGTTGTCTGTCTAAAGAATCACCATGTGCCTCTTTTCTTTTTTCAACTAAAAGATAAGAGCAAGCATGTTAATGTTAATATAGTCATTATTTTTGTGTTGTACAGAGCATATCTCACGAAAAACTCACGCTTTTTGCTTTGTTTCTCAACCTCGGCCTTCAATTTTTGATATTTTTCGGTTCTGTACACCATCAACCATGTCAACCCTAAACGGCACAACAATGAAACGATAAACGTAAACACATGTTGAATCGAAATAAATACCGTTTTACTTTTCTTCCTCTATGTTTATTGATGCATTTGTGTTCTTACCTTCGCCTAGTAATGCTGTGCATATACTGATAAACAAAATTAGAATAGTATCTGCCCACATATTTGCAAGACCGTTTTTTTAATCACAGCTCGTACAATTTTCAACAACACGATCACTCTTCATAATAAATAATCTCGCTCGAGACTCAACTGGAAGAGTTCCCTTTAATGAATCGTATTTTTGTTACCAGAGTCGCCGAATAAACACGAGGATAAACGTAAATAAATGTATTAAATTACAGGCATGGCGAAAATGTATATCCGTGTATCATTTAAGTAACGTTCAATCATTCAGCAGCAGGTAGGTGAAACGTGGTCTCTTTGAGGAGTTCCAAAACGTATCAGTATTGTGTTCAATAAACTCATTGGTCGGCTTCTACCAGCTCTTATTTCTCATTGACATATAACCTAACAATAGCATAATCTAATTCTTTCCTAAAATAATTTTTGAAACTATAAATATAACAAGGTATAAATAAATAAATACGTATATACAGAAGTTATTTAGGTAGGCTTTTCTTTTAGTTATACTTGTTGCTTTTTTTTATTGGGAGTACAAATTAGTTCGGTCCGTTTTCCAAAAGATGGCTCCGGCTGTAGTGAATGGTTCATAGTGGCAGCTGATTTTGGTGGTTTCAGAGAGGTTAGACATCTGGTAATAATATTCAGTTTATATCGCTTTGAATTTCATACAAAAACCTTGATTTTTACTGTGTTTGAAATGTCGAATTTTGTGTTAACCAAGCAACATTTGCGGGAGGTTTTAATTTTCTGCTTTAATTGGAAGAAAAGTGCAGCTGAAGCCCATCGAATGCTTGTCGAAGTTTATGGTGACACTGCTCCAACTGATAAATCATGTAGGGAATGGTTTCGACGTTTCAAGAATGGAGATTTCAGCGTTGAAGACAAGCCTCGCTCTGGACAGCCAAACAAATTCGAAGACAAAGAATTAGAGGCATTACTCGAAGAAGATCAGAGTCAAACGCAAGTGGAGCTTGCAGAATCATTGGGAGTAACTCAACAAGCCGTTTCTGTACGATTGAGAGCCATGGGAATGATTCAAAAACAAGGAAATTGGGTGCCTTATGAAACCAAGAAACGTTGAAAGACGACTTTTCACTTGCGAGTAGCAAAGGCAACAAAGAAAAGGTTTTTTGCATCGGATTGTGACTGGAGATGAGAAGTGGATATTCTACGACAATCCCAAGAAGAAAAAATACTACGCTAAGCCCGGTCAATCGTTGCCATCGACCTCAACATCAACACCAAAGCCGAACATTCATGGTTCGAAGATCATGCTCTGTATCTGGTGGGACCAAAAGGGTGTTGTTTACTATGAGCTGCTGAAACCTGGCGATTCCATTACGATCGGTATCGGCTACAATTGATTCGTTTGAACTGTGCATTGCGAGAAAAACAGCCGGAATACGAGCAAAGACGTGATAAAGTTATTTTTCTTCATGACAACGCTCGGCCTCATGTCGCAAAAGTCGTAAAAAAATATTTGGAAACGATCAAATGGGATGTTTTACCGCACCCGCCGTATTCTCTGGACATTGCTCCTTCTGATTACTGGTTGTTCCGAAGGATGCAGCACGATTTGGCAAGTCACCGATTCTTTCGCAGAAATCGAAAATTGGCTCCAAAATTGGATCGCCTCCAAAGACGAGCCATTTTTTCAAGAAGGAATTCGAAAATTGCCTGAGAGATGGAAAAAAAAGTAGTAGCCAGCGATGGACAATACTTTAATTAATCTGTTCATTCATTTTGTTTCGAAATAAATGCATTTTTGAACACAAAAAAACGGACCGAACTAATTTGTACTTACATATAAATTTGAAAACCTTTATTTATTTTATTCTTTAACATAAAAAGCGCAAGGAATACAAATATATCTAAAGGAAATTAATTAAATGCATATTCATATATTTTTCATATTTTTTAAAATTATTAATCAGAAATATCTTGCGTATATGTTTTAATTATAATATAAACGAAATTATTTTTTGTTATAGAAACCTGTGAACATAGTAAGTTCTCCAAAAATACATTTATTAAATATTAGATATTAACAAAATCAAGAACAATTTTTCATTATTAATGGATAAATGTTTCATCTTAGGAAAATTGGGCAACCTACGTACTACAGAGCCTCCTTACATCAAAACATGAAAAATAATTCATATGAACGTATATTCGCAAATCCACTATTATTAATAACTACATGGCTTCCACGATACTACGACCTAAATTCTTTAAATTTTCTGTTGGGTCACTTTAAGACCTTGATTTATGAAGTTACAATTGCCAATAAAAATAAGCTACGCCAACGCATCTATGAT